CTTCCACTCGTCGCGTCTCAAGACATCTGAAAGGCCCATCATCATTATTAATTTAATCACAATCAATTTTTATTTTTGTTTAGCATAATCATTCTCAAATATGTTGAACAAGTATCTATTAAGCATCTGTGAAGTGACAGCCTCTATGTGAAAAGTTAAAAAGCAACACATATCAGTCTCAGAAGGTAAATCAGATCTGATTTTTAGACTAGCCAAAAGTCCAAATATTCATGTAAAATTTTCTTTTTTAGTTAGCTCAAAAATATTAAGACCTGCCTGAGGTGAGGGGCAGGGGTAGGCTAAAAAAACTCAATGTGTGGAAAAAGGGGACATATGTAATACTTTCAACAATAAATATACATAAATTATTCCCTTGTATTCCCTTGGAAATAAATAAGATGCCACTTAAATAAATACTGAAGTCACATAAAAGTCAGGTAATAGGAGGCACAGAGTTGTTCTTTATGGTTTTATTATAGCAAGAATATCAAACCATCACTTGCCAGAGTTGTCTAGAATTCACCAGAAAATGTTAATAAGAAATGGGATCAGTTTAGGAAAGAGAAATACCTGATATCCATAGCACAGCTCTCCCAGTCTCTCTGGCTAAGAACATAATAATTTAGCCCAGGATTTCCTCTATTGCTGAAAAAAAAAAAAAAAGCTTCACCAATCATCATGGGCTTAAGTGCAGTTCTAATTTTTCGACTTTAGAATTTATCTGCTGCTAAGAAAATACTTTGCCTTGTGTGTTTAAATCTTTTAACATTTTGCGATGTTATAGAGATTGCCAAATATATACTAATGCTGAACTTCAAAAGGAGAGGTATATTTAGCCATTTCTTAGGGGGGGATGATACACAGAAGATAATTATGTACCTGAGAGCAATAACAGGAGTAAAAAAAATGGCTAACCTATCATGTTATTTCTAACTAGAGGCCCGGTGCATGAATTCATACATCAGTAGGGTCCCTCGGCTGCGGGACAAATCTTCTTAAGGATGGAGAAGACTTGATGGATGAGAGTGTACGGAAGTTCTACACTCAGCAGTGGGAAGATTACCTGTTTTCCAGCAAAGTTCTGAATGGAATTTGTGCCTACCTCAATAGACATTGGGTTCGCCGTGAATGTGATGAAGGACGAAAAGGAATATATGAAATCTATTCTATTTTGTACAACAAATGTGTGAGTGCCTATTATGTGCTAGGCATAAATTTTATTTCAATGCTTTAGGAAGCATCAGATGTTTCCTGACAAAAAGATTTTTGTCTATTATGTTAGTGGATTCTTATAGTAAGGGGGGAATATAAAACTTATAAAAGCATGACTTCATTGTTATTGCTAGTTAAATATGTAAATGTTAAATACAAAATATTTTATTGTAATTAAGTCTTATTAAGTTAACTTAATAAGTTAACTTATTTCAGGGTATTGTACATCTCAGTATAAACACATACTCAGTGGGGTGGATATGCAGAGTTCACCTCGGTGCATAAAGATGGTGCCTTTTTCTTTAAGATTTGGGTCGCATGTATAATCTTGTATCTCGAATCCAGGACGGCCTAGGAGAACTGAAAAAACTTTTGGAGACACATATTCATAATCAGGGTCTTGCAGCAATTGGAAAGTGTGGAGAAGCTGCTTTAAATGATCCAAAAATGTACGTGCAGACAGTGTTGGATGTTCATAAAAAGTATAACGCCCTGGTCATGTCAGCATTCATAACGACGCGGGCTTCGTGGCCGCCCTGGACAAGGCTTGTGGGCGCTTCATAAACAACAACGCTGTCACCAAGATGGCTCAGGCGTCCAGTAAGTCCCCCGAGTTGCTGGCTCGATACTGTGACTCCTTGTTGAAGAAGAGTTCCAAGAACCCAGAAGAAGCAGAACTAGAAGATACACTCAATCAAGTGATGGTTGTCTTCAAGTACATAGAGGACAAGGATGTGTTCCAGAAGTTCTATGCGAAGATGCTGGCCAAAAGACTCGTGCACCAGAACAGTGCGAGTGATGATGCCAAAGCAAGCATGATCTCCAAATTAAAGCAAGCATGTGGGTATGAGTATACCTCTAAACTTCAGCGGATGTTTCAGGACGTTGGCGTGAGCAAAGATCTAAACGAACAGTTCAAAAAGCACCTGACAAATTCAGAGCCACTGGACTTGGACTTCAGTATCCAGGTGCCGAGCTCCGGCTCGTGGCCCTTCCAGCAGTCCTGCACGTTCGCCTTGCCGTCAGAGCTGGAACGTAGCTACCAGCGATTCACTGCTTTCTACGCTAGTCGTCATAGCGGCAGGAAGCTGACGTGGTTGTACCAACTCTCCAAAGGAGAGCTGGTCACAAACTGCTTCAAGAACAGATACACTTTGCAGGCATCTACATTCCAGATGGCAATCCTGCTTCAATACAACACAGAAGATGTTTACGTGGTGCAGCAGCTGACGGACAGCACTCAAATCAAAATGGACATTTTGGCACAAGTCCTACAGATTTTATTGAAGTCGAAGTTATTGGTCTTGGAAGATGAAAATGCAAATGTTGATGAGGTGGAATTGAAGCCAGATACCTTGATAAAATTATATCTTGGTTATAAAAATAAGAAATTAAGGGTTAACATCAATGTGCCAATGAAAACCGAACAGAAGCAGGAACAAGAAACTACACACAAAAATATTGAAGAGGACCGGAAACTGCTGATCCAGGCTGGGATTGTGAGGATCATGAAGATGCGGAAGGTCCTGAAGCACCAGCAGCTGCTTGGGGAGGTGCTCACTCAGCTGTCCTCACGGTTCAAGCCACGGGTCCCGGTCATCAAGAAATGCATTGATATTCTGATCGAGAAAGAATATTTGGAGCGAGTTGATGGTGAAAAGGACACCTACAGTTACTTGGCTTAACCCTTGTAGAGGGTCTGACTGTGCCACCGCGGCCAATGTTCCTGGTGGGCAGGATGACGACCAGTTCCTAGCAGCCGCCTGCACCACTGGCCTCCCTTTTTAAACTGAGACCAAGACTCCCATCAGCCGGTCTCAGATGTACATCAGAACTGCTCAGGATCGATACATTTCAAGTCTGTAAATATGGACACCGACGCCATTTAACCTAATTTAAGAACAGAGGGGAATGAACCGTCATGCTGAGGGCTGCATGCTACTGCATCTAGATCAATACATCGGCTACGTGCTAACAGCTGCCTCCGTCTCAGCAGCACTGAGTGTCGGCCACACTTTGAGAGAAGTCTGAATGGACCCGCGTGTAATCTGCTCTGAAAACCATTTGTATAGTGTGTTTCATTTTTTAATGTGTGAAATAAAGAAAATTAAAGGAAAAAAAAAACCAGCTCTCTGACATCCCCCGAGGGGTCCCGGATTGCAAGAGAGTGCAGGCCAGGCTGAGGGACCCCACAGGGGCACAATAGGGGCCGGGGAGAATGTGGGGGGTCGGCCAGCTGGGGAGGGACCGCGGGAGGGCTCCAGGGCGTGTCTGGCCCCTCTCGCTCAGTCCCAATCGGCTGGACCCCAGCAGCAAGCTAACCTACCAGTTGGAGCGTCTGCCCCCTGGTCTGCCCCCTGGTGGTCAGTGCATGTCATAGTGAGCGGTTGAGCGGCCTTAGCATATCATTAGCATATTATGCTTTGATTGGTTGAACGGCTGACGGCTGAAAGGTCGACTGGACACTTAGCATATTAGGCTTTTATTATATAGGATTTACTTCCATAATGGTACCTTAAGAAAGACTGTGGAGTGTTATTCTTTTAAATCTAATTTCTAATGTACAGTGATGCTATGCCTGACCAAACATTGTAAAAATGCTTTCAGGGGCTAGACAGGTAAAGTCAAAAAGTAAAATGGGCCCATTTGGAGAAAAATCACATGGCCATCTTGGTCTATATTTTTGTTACCTATTTTTGATAGAGCTATAGTGAGAATATAAATGTATATAAACCCTATATAATAAAAGGCTAATAATCAACTAAACAGGTGGAACGACTGGTCACTATGATGTGCACTGACCATCAGGGGGCAGACGCCCAATGCAGTAGCTGCCACAGGGGGAGTGCTGCTCAGCCAGAAGCCGGGCTGACAGCTGGCGAGCGCAGCAGTGATGAAGGGAGCCTCTCCCGCCTCTGCAGCAGCACTAAGGATGTTTAACTGGCAGCTTAGGCCCTGCTTTCTGTGGGGAGCAGGGCCTAAGTTGTCAGTCAGACATCCCCCAAGGGCTCCCACACTGCGAGAGGGCACAGGCCGGGGTGATGGACCGCCCCCCAAGAGCATGAATTTCATGCACCGGGCCTCTAGTATGATAATAAATGGCAAATACTGTTCAATATTGATGTCAGAGTCAAGAGGGGAGGGTTTTCACCCCAGCAAAGTGAAACCCATATCTCACCAAAAGTATCAGCTATTCCTCAGCCCTTATCTTATGACTGTCTTTGAGTATGTAGGTCCAAAGTCTCCTAACATTTTGATAATTTTTTTTACATATTTGAAAATGTTTCTAAAATACCATGCTAACAAACAAAATGCATCTGTGAACTATTTTTAGGTCATGAGCCTGGTCTAGGTTTTCTAGTGGTCAGGAATATAGAGTACCTATATGACAAAAAACATGTAGTTGTATGTGAATTAGTAAAGTTTGGGAAACACTCCCACCATGAGTCTATCTCAATGTCTATTTCATTCTTGAATTCCTCTAGGTTCTGTACTCAAGGGGGAAGGAGGGCAAGGAGTGAAGAAGGACAGGTAGACAAGGCTACAGGATGATGGCAGAATGGAAATACTGCAATTGACTCTGTATACATGAGAGGTGTTCACTGTTTTTGGACACTGTACAAGTCATTAAACACCTCTGTGTCAGTTTGTTCTTCTTTTGAATTGATATGAATTATACTAGGTAATATCTAAAATTTCTCCTATCCCTGACAATAGACATAGCAAAGAATTTCACAGCTTCTCAGTTGACACCTAAGAAAGTTGTTAGTCATATTGTATCAAGCCTATAATTTATCTTTGTGTCTTCTTATATAATCCTTTCACTATATAATTTTCATTTTTAACCATTACCTTTATTTTTATACTTCCATGCATTTTTTAAAAACCTTTCCTATGCTTCAGGAATTGGCAAATAGATTTTATCTCATGTGTCAGGTCTAACATTGGTGTAACTTCCTAGAGGACTGTGCTCAAAAGGATTGTGGGAATTCTAAATGTGGTACCCAATGTTTTGATTGATTATCAATGTATGCATGGGTGAGGGAGAATGATTCACAGTATATAACACAGAGGTGGGTTTAAAAGCATTGATTGTGAATCCTAAGATTTCAAAATTACCTGATACCTAGATTCAACAACCAAAATTTATGGCTATTTTCTCTATATACTTTAAGGGACTTTTAAAATAAAAACATTTTAGCCAAAAATATCAACCTCCCTTATATTTAAATGGGGAGGGGTAAAAAAAAAAGAGAGTAGGTACTTTTTCTCAAATTATAAGCTGTATTATAAAAAATATCATTATTTTGAGTTTTATTTCAAGGTCCTGAAAATATACAAACTACATGTTGAATTGAAATTAAGCAAAGTTAGTTGTATATATATCATTTGCATTCTCGGGTATTTTCTAACAAATCATAAATTGTTTTTTCTTATTCTCTTCACACGTTAGTTACAAAAAGTGGTATGAAACCCTGGCAGAGGTAGCTCAGTTGGTTAGAGTGTTGTCCTGATGAGCCAAAGTTGCAGGTACCATCTCCTGTCAGGGCACATATAAGATTTTTGTTGGTTCTTATTCACAGGTATATGAGATAAAGGATTCTAAGCTCAACATCACTGCAAAAGACTGAATGTTTTCAGAAATGTCAGAATTTAAAATAAAATATTAAAATACTTAAGGGAGGAAAAAGTCTTTATGCCCAGGAGTTTCAGCAGGGTCTTACAGGTAAATATCTATTAAAAAAGGAAAAAAAGAAAGAAAAGAAAGAAAGAAAGAAAGAAAGAAAGAAAGAAAGAAAGAAAGAAAGAAAAGAAACCAGTCAGATTGATGCTTCATTACAGTATTCTCTCCTCACCTAAATTAAAAAAAGAAAAGAGAGCAAGGAGAGAAAGAAGGAAGGGAGGGAGGGAGGGAGGAAAGAAAGAAGGGAGGGAGGGAGAAAGGGAGGGAGGGAGGAAGAAAGAGAAAGGAGGGAGGTAGGGAGGGAAGAAAAGAAGAAAGGAAACTCCTCCAAATGCCCTGATCCCTAGAAATAGGTTTTTGAAGAAAGTTGTTAAGTTTTTCTGTAAAAAAAATGTATTAATTTTATGATGAAATTTTATTGTTTCTCAAGTAGGGTTTTTAAGATTCTGATTTAAAGTGTCCAAATGTTGAATTTTTTTAATTCCTATGATTTTATTATTTGTAGTACCTAATACAAACTAGGATAAAAAAAGAGTTCTTATCTTTTCTTCAGTGAAGAGATAAGAGTAATTTGAAATTTATTCTATTAATTTTCAGTAAATACTGGTGTGTCAATCTAGGGCTTTAAGATTCCTGAAAAAATAATTGTTTTATAAAAACAAGTAACCTTCATAAAGAAAGAGTTTTCTAAATAGAGCTAAATACAGGTTACCACCAATTTAGTAATTTAAAAATTACTAAATTAGTAGAGAAAAAAATTAACATGGATGGGTACTAAACATATCAGGATGATCACTTCCTGATCGTCCTGATATGTTTAGTCTAACATTTATATGTTATATAAATGTCTAATCACTATATTGTAAACCTGAAACTAATACATGGAAGTATAATACGGTATGTCAACCATAATTGAAAAATAAAAAAATTAAATTTAAAAAATTAAAAGAAAATAAAAACAATAAGTTATCATGCAACCATCTTACCAGTCAAGTTCATACTTATTAATAAATGTATTTAAAAGAAAAGCAACAACCACACTTTAAAAATTCAGCTAGTCAACAAACTTTTCTCATAAAACTCACTCAGATGAACATTTCAAATCTCACCCAAATTTCTACCTGATATTAGAAACCTGTCTCTTTCCCCCCAAGAGCCAGAGCCACGCTTTTCCAATTACAGTGCTATGTTTGGAAATCCTTGAATCTCTAAATAAAAACTCTCTCTGGATTCCATGGGAAGGATTTCTGTGTGCGTTGTACAACTTTAACTCTGACACAATCTTTAGGCTAAAAGACCTGTCAACTCAGAGGGGAAATAGTCCATTTATTTTTCATGCCTGCTCAAAAAATAATAATAATCAGTCCAGCTTACACGGATGGGGGAGGCATGTTTTATTTCTCATTCTGAGTAATTCCCTATTGCAAACAATGCATCTTCTGTGAGAATCTTCTTGCTGAAATTCCAAAAATGTTTCCAAATCCCCAAATATTTCTAAATTATTGTATGACTTGAAAAATGCAAACAGTAAAACTTCTCTGTAATATCAAGTATCATTATATTAAATTAATGCAGGTTTTTTATCACCACAAAGTAATTAATACATTGATTATGGAGAAACACCAAGAAAGACACCATAGTACTATGAGATCAGTCTTAGCATTAAAGAAATTACGTGCCCTGAAGTGTGTCCTTAATTATTTAGAAGACCAAGTAATTATCTACATGGAATTTATCAATAATTAATATGCCTACCTTAATGCACTTTAACTAAACTCCCTTTTTATATAATGAATCATCCACACTCAACACCATTAAAGTTTAAAGTTTTAAGAAACTTAGATGTGATATCAACAGTGAGAGCTTCCAGGCTTAGATCTTCTTCCCAGGTCCTGTCATCTAGTCCTATGTCTCTGAATACCAATTATGTGATGCTGTTGACTCAAAAGTTTATTTCTCTAACTTGGTCCTCTCCACTGTTCTCTGTATCCATTCACTCAACTTCTAGTCTGAATCTTCCACTTGAGTATACATCTAATGAATATTTAAACTTAATACTTCCAAAAGTCAACTATTCCAACTTGTAAAATTCACTCCTCTACTAATTGTTTACATTGGGGTAAAAAAGAGCTACCATCTACTCTATGGCACAGATTTAAAAATCTATAAGTTGTCCCAGATTCCTTGCTTACCCTCATCCTCTCCACACAAGTCCTGTTTGTTCTGGCTGTAAAATATAATTCTCTCCATCCGCACTGCTACCACACTAGGCCAAGCCACTATCATTTCCTGCCCAGCAAACTGCAGTAGTCTGTGAAATACATCACAGTTTTATCCTTGCCCCTTCCCATTCCATTTTCCAAATAGCAGCCAGAGTAATCTTTTGAAACAATAAATCACTTCATGCCACTCTGCTGAATCTAGCCTCCTCTCATCCCAG